CCCCTAAAACACTATTGAAGTGATTTAGTCCTTGCCAGCTCAGTCCTTTTCCGAGTTCTCTTTATAGTGAGTGTATAGAAGCACGTAATGAGCTAACTCTTCACGTACTTCCTCTCCTACAGCGCAGCAGGCCACCGCCCTACCCACCCATACCCCTCGCCTCCGTATACCCCCATTCCATAGCCGGTACCAGGTCCTGCCACTTTAGACTATTTACTTATTTACTAGATTCATGGACTATTTACTTATTTACCAGATTTCTGGACGTAAGCTCTAGAGGGCGATGTCTATATCCCAAGTGCCTGGAACAGTATCTGGAGGAAAGATGCCCAGTGTTTGTTGATTGAATGACTGCCTGGTGGGTGCTGGCAGGATGGGTGGTAAGGGGTGGCGAGGCTGGCAGTGCAAAAGAGGGAAGAAGGGTGTGGTGTTGGAGTAGGGTAGGATTAGGAGATCTATGATGCTATGCTGTTTCCAGGGGGTTCTTTCCAGACTCTTGTTGTCCTGAACAAAGAATTGGACAGGAAATGATCAAAAAGTAGCAAGGTTTTGCATTTATTAAAGGTATAAAAGGTAGGAAAAGGAGTATGCTTTGCAGAGGGCAGAGCAAACTAGTGAAAAACCTCAGCCGCCACCAATTAATGGCTGCTGTCTATTATATCCCCCATGCTGATGTGGGATCTAGGCCATCCTATCAGAAACTTGCTTGATCTTGGGCCAGAAGAACTAAAGATAGCATTTTCTGATGGGTTCAGGGCTTGGGTGCATGTGTCTCTTGATTGACAGGTCAGCAGATCAGCCCACTTGCCCAGCCAGCTGGCCGCACCCTCATCTCCAGCTTTCCTAGAGGTGGTGGCAGTGGCTGGTGTAGGGGCAATGGAGTTGGGGGGGCTGCAGAACAACCGAACAACTGCCCCGATGCCTACTGTGCTGTGCTTGCTCAGGACCCTCTGGGAAGCTGGAATCTGAGGCTGCGTGAGGATTTCTAGAGGGATCTAGAGACCTCAAGCCCTGAGGGAGAGCTTGTCAGTGTGGAACGTGAGCATTTGGTTCCCGGGCTGAGGCGGGATGAGCTGTTCGCGTGCACACACATTCATGCATGCACACATTCACATGCACACACACACGTGCACACCAGTCTGCCCTCATACGAAGGGTGTTGTGCAAGTGAGTGACAGAGAAGCAGGGACGGGTATGGCCAGCTGTCATTTACCTACTCCCTCACTCAGGTTTATACTCACAGATCCTAAAATGATTTCCTGTCACCACACTTCAGGCTCCAAGGAGAACAAAGTCCATCCGCACTAAATGCTCAGCCCACTGGTCAGCCCAAGGAGGAGGTGAGGACAGCCTGCTCCTGGCCTGTGTGGCTCCAGGCAGGGGGTCAGGGACGGGCTGCGTGCCACACACGAAGTCTCTAGAGTGATCCATAAAGCTGGCAGACGGCTTAACAGAAATATTTCTATCCTCCTCCACTCACAGATACAGCCCAGAAGGGCAAGCAGGACGGCCGGACTCCTAGGACTCCACACAGAGCACGGGCAAATGCCCCACCTGTACACCCAAGCCAGGCCACGCCCTCCAGGAAAGCTGCCCCTTGCCCTTGGATTCCTGGGTTGTACACAAAGCCAGGACAGTGCATGCTGGGAGGACAGGTTGGAGAGCTGGGTTCAGGCTTTGAGTGTGAATCCTAGCGTCCCGGTTCCCAGATCCTGGGCAGAAGGAAGAGCCCTAGCTCCGGACAGAGGAAGTCAAGGCTGAAGGCTGCTCTCTTTCTGGGAAGGATATGGCTACAAAAGGGGGCCATCAGGAAGCCCCCAGGGCTGGGCAGGTGGCGTCATCTGGCTGGAGGAACTAGTAGGCTGCCGCTCTGTTAGGTCCATAGCCCTTTGGAGGAAAGATGTGATCTCCTTAAAAAGAGAAGAGAAAAAGAAAGAAAAAAAAAAATGTTACCTCCCAGTACAGCTCTGGGAAGAGAGAAGAAAGGATCTCAGGAACTAGGCAAGCCTCCCAACTTCTGGGAAAGATGTGTCTATGCCCTGAACCCCCTCCATCCCCATTTCTCAGGTCAGCACAAAAGGAACGAGGGCTAGACTTGAAGGAGCCCTGTGTAGAAGCCTGGGGCCTCCTGACCCTGCCACCCCCACCCCATGAACGTGAGGGGCTCCTGGCCCGTCTGCTCCCTTATGTCCCGGCCACTCTCCTGGTTGGCAATCTCTCTACACACAGGGCTCTGCCCCCAAGCCCGCCTCCACACCGCTCCCCCAGTTCCAGGCCCAGACCTCACTGTGTCGGCAGAACCCTCTGAGGCTGGCCTCACCCCCAAACAACCTGCCTCTTCTCCCTCCAGTGACGGGGGCGCCTGCCCCTGCCCCTGCCCCTGCCCCTGCCCCTGCCCCTGCCCCTGCCCTGCTCAGGTAGGCTCATACTTGCTGCTGCAGTAGTTATCACCTCAGCTCACCGGGCTCGAGAAACAAGAGAGGTTCACCGACTTCCGTCACAGAAAAAGAACTTTCAAGATGCATCTAGGAAAGGCATAAAAAGATTTAGTAGGTAGAATTTTTAAAATACTCAGAATAGGGTGCCAGCCCTCAAGAAAGAGGGGTTGAGCTTATGTGGCTTTGGCCTAGTGCTCAAGATGGGTGATTTGAGTGTGTGTTCCCGGGGCTCATCCAGTACCCACCTGGCCAAGGGTGTTAGAGCGCAAATCACTGCCGCTTGTTTGAAGCTGAGGTTCTGCTGCCTGCTGTCTGTAGCAGCGTAATTCATAGGCAAAAAGCACCAGCCCAGAGCTTGATTTATAAACTTGTTGTATCTTTCAGAGCCTTAGAAAAATTTTTGGAGTTCTCTGGAAAGGAAACAAGGCTTGTGGAACTTGAGTTCTAAAGTTGTAACTTGTCTTATAAGTAGAATTCTTAAATTATGATCTTCCTTATCTCCTTCCTACCTGTCTTTATTTCTACTACCTTACTTCATTAGGTAGCTGACAGCATTGCGAATGAACAGCAGCTGTGGAACTGTACGCATTAAAAGGGTTAATTTTATGTTATACCAATTTCACCTGAATAAAAAATAAAAATAATTAAATTTGGGGGGTATGAGGCCTGCCCATGGGTGACAGTGACAGCATGGTCCTTTGACGATAGACATTCAGGCCAGAGAAGGCAGGTCCTTTGCAAAATACACCGTGGGACTCCCCAGGAAATGCCACTCCTGAGGGTCCTTGCTGGACCCTGGTCCCTCCTCCAGGAACTGTACTTCTGTCCTCAAACCCTCCCGAGGGGACTGGGTATCACTTGCTTGAACCGAGCAAGGTTGGCAGCATAGGGAGCCTTCTATCTTATCCGGGGCAGCCTCCCTCTGACTTTCTCAGCGGCTCCAGCCCTGGCAGCCTAGGGCCTTGGAGGCCCAAAACTGAGGGCCTTGTGATCTTTGGGATCTGCCCTGGGACTCCCAGGTGAGCACTCCGGCAGGAGGGAGGCCTGAGGACGCTGCGTTCCTTGGGCACAAAAGCAGAATGCATTCTGATGCCTTCGCCCACAAGGCCAACTTCCCCAGGGCTGCGGCCTGTGTTCATTGTTGTCATGTTGCTCTTTCTGTCCCTTTTGGCCACGCAGGAGACTGTATCTCAGCCCTAAGTCCCTGAGACACAAGTGGGACGGACCCCTTATCGCTCTTCTCTCTCCTTCCCTTCCCGGCCACCTCTGCCGGGAACAGGCCCCCAGTGGGGACAATGGACTCACTTGACTGCTGGGCAGATCGTCCCCGCATCAGTGCACAGTGTCCTGGGCACAGAGGAGTCCCCTCCTTCTACTGCTTCTGTTTATAGAACTGTGATAAGGGCCCCTTCAGTGGACCAGAGCTTGCCTAGAGCGTGCAAGGGCCTGCGCCACAGCCTCAGCATTGCAAAAGCAAACTAAAGCCGGCAACAACAAGACCTGTGGTAGAATCATGCGGGTGTCCAAGGCCCAAGTTGTATAGTAGGAGCTCGAGCCTGCCCTCTTTCAAGAGCTGGTCTCTGAAGCCTGGGCCCTACCTGCTCTTTGGTCCTGAGTAATGACTGCCGTAAGACCTCAGCTCACACTCCTTAAACTTCAGCCAGAAAGACCTGTGACAGCAGGGCTCCCTGGGCTCTGCCACTTCCAACAAGTTCCCGGGCCACTGATGCAGCTGCTCCTCCACCCACACTGTGAGCGACATGGTGCCAGTTACACTGAGCCTCAGTTTCCCCGCTGACAGTGATGAAGCCCTCACTGGTAGACAGGCGCTGATTACTTGAAGGCCCACAGCATAGAGGCAGTACTCGAGGTTAAATGACTTCCTCCAAAGCCAGAAGTGGTGGGTCTGCATCACAGCCAAGTCTCCAACTCTGTCTCTAACCCCGACCAGCAGGAGCAGCCCGGCCCTCCACAGCGCCCAAGAGCTAATCCTGCCTCCTTTGCTCCAACACAAGCTGCGGCCAAGATAACATTATCTCTCCACTCCTGTGCAAAACACATAAAGTTAAAGCCGCTATGTCCACCATTTAAAATGTACAGTGTAGTGGTCTTCAGTATATTTACGTTGTGCAGCCATCGCCCCATCCATCACCAAAACTTTTCCATCTTCCCAAACGGAACCTGTGCCCATTAAACGCTAACTCCCCTCTTCTGCACAGGGCCTGGCCGCCACCACTCTGCTGTCTGTCTCTGTCACTGTGACTTTCTAGGCATCTCATGTCAGTGGAACCATCCGGCATTTGACCTTTTTGTGACAGGCTTATTTCACTGAGCGCAATACTCTCCAGTGGATCCAGGAAATGGGACCTGCCCCCTGCAGCAGTTGTGAGGCCTCAACAGACAAAGCTCCTACAGTAAGGCCTGCCTTGTGATACGTAAGAGTGAGTCTGAGGTCTGTGTCTTAAAAAGTATTTGGCATCACTGTGTAAGTTGAGATAGCATTATAAACACAGACTCTAAAACCAGGAGACTTGAGGTGACAGAGGTGACAGATAGCAAAGCCGGATATAGGCAGCAGAGGTGACAGGTGATGCCAGCTGAACAAGAGATGCCAGATCCCCTGAGTGTCAACCAGGGGGAGGGGCATGGCTTGGGGGAGGCGGGGGTGGCCCAGGTCAGAGAGAAGCCATGTACAAGTGAGCAGGAAGAGGGAGATTCTGGGGGCCCGGGGGTTCCCACGGAGCTGCAGGGCTTGGGAAGCAGGAGGTGGCCATGGGGAGGGCTGTGTTTGGAGCCCAGGAAAGACACAGTGACTGATGGCTTTGCTCTGGGGGAGGCCAGGCGGGACAGCAAGGCCCAAAGGGAGATTTGGGAAGGGGAGAGGGAGGCAAGGGGAGAGAAGAGAGATGGGGAGGGGAGGGTGGGCAAGAACAGTGTCCAGGCCGGTGGTTGTCACTGACCTTCACGTTAGACCCAAGGTCAAGCCCTGCTCTGGCTGAAATCTGTCTGCACCTTAACCCCCCAGTCTGTAAACTGAGGGGAGCAACAGAACCTCCCACACAAGGAGAACTGAGAGCTAGGTAAGACTACTTTCCTCGGGCCCTGACTCCAACACCCGGCAGAGGGCGGAGCCGCACAAGGACAGGCAGAGTCGTTGGGAGTCTGCGGAGAGTCAAGTTAGGAGGCTGCGGGAGAGAGAGCAGGAGAGGTCGCTGGTGGACCGAGCGTACTGCAGAGGCCTTTGGGAGGCTGGGGACCCAGCAAACAACATCTCTCCTCAACTCAGGAAGAGCAGAGGGGTTTTGCAAATAGAGTCCGTGGGAAAGACAGCTGGCGAGGCAGGCGGGGCTCTCCTCCAGGGAGGGCGACGCTGAAAGCCAGGCTAGAGCCTGGGCATCGTGTTTGGACAGCACGCACCCCAGAGGTACCTGAGTGGGCAACATGCCAGTGCCATTTTGCATGCAGTGTCCCTGTGGGGCGCAGGAGGGGTTAGTATGGGTAGGATTTGATTGACAAGGGCCTAAAATTCCCACGCAGAGACTGCCACAGTTACCACACTCTGAGACTCAGCAACCCAGGTTTGACCAGCAAAATAAAAAAGCAAGCTGGGCCTCAGTAAAGCACAGCCCGCAATCCCAGCACTCTGGAAGGCCGAGACGGGAGAATCTCCAGTTTGACTTAGCAACTTAGGGAGACCTTGTCTCAACATAAAATTTAAAGTTGAGGGAGTGGGCTGGGGACATAGTTCAGTACAAAGGCTCTGTACTGAAGAATCCTCACTACTGAAAGAAAAAATCAGTGGACAGGATAACACCAATACCAAGTGGGTACAGGAGGAAAAACCGGGGAGTCGGGAGGGGACCGGCAGGCCAGAGCCAGGCCCAAGGAAGGGGAAGTCGCAGCTGTTGGGAATTTTCATACCACAGCTCCCACAAATAACGCGGGCAAAGACGCTCGGGAACTTATAAATAGCAACTGTCACTTGAGAACCAGCAGAGCCTCTTGCGCTCAGCACAAATTCTGCCAGCCACACTGCACCCCATACATGTAACTAGTACTGTATGTCAGTTCAAAAGAAACTTCAGAAACCAACAGCTAGAGGGTGCTGCCGAGCGGCTTAGCACAGCGGATGACGTCAACCTCCAGAAATCCCACCCTGACTCTTCAGATAATTACACCGTGACTGTGAGTCAAAAATGGGCCACCCATACACCGCGTGACCAGTCCAATTCATTCAAAGTGCCCTGGGCTGGCAATTGGGCCACCCGCTCTGATTACACATAAACCGAATGCTTGTTAAGAAAATGCCTCTTGGTGTGGTGGCTCACGCCTGTAATCCCAGCACTTGGGAGGCTGAGGTAGGGGGATCGCCATGAGTTGGAGGCCAGCCTGGGCTACAAAGTGAGTTTAAGGCCAGCCTGAACTGCATAGTGAAACCCTGTCTCCAAATAAATAAATAAATAAAAAGGCTCTGGTTTTGCTGTGACCCAAGAACCAAACCCAGACTTCTGTTTATCCCTGGCAGGGTGGTCTCAGTGTCCATCCTGGATCTTAAGAAGTTGTTCTCTTTTCCACCTTTCCAGCTACTCCAAACTCAAAAGTTCTGAGAGATGTTCCCACTGGGGGTGAGAAACACTTTTCAAAGTGCAGCAGTAGAATTTGCTTCAGGCAAGAGATCTCTGTGAATACAATGGAGAGCTGCCCTGAGAGCTGGCCTGTAGGGGAACCCAGGCTGTAGGCAGGCTGGCAGGATTTAAGGAACCTGCTGCATGAATGGAAAGGTCCAGGAAGGGCCAGGTCTTGCCTGGGAGACACCCCCCTACCCTGTGCCACTCCAGTTCCAAAGAAAGGGCTTATTTCATGAGAACTATCATGCTCTTTTACATTTTTGTTTGGATCACTGTAGCCTAACTAGGCTGATTCCCTTAGTATCCCTCTGTCTGAACACCCCAGGGCTACAGATGTCATTTTAGTGGAATGCACCTCATTGGAGCCTGGATACCGTAGGTGCTCATTAAATGCTTTCTTACATCTTTCCCCAGTCTGATCTGTTTGTTTGTTTTTTTTTTTTTTTTTGGTTTTTCTCTGGTACCGGGAACCGAACTCACG